CGCATTACACCACTTCCCTTTTACAAAAGACCTATATTAGTACCTCTTTACTAGCCAAAAGAAAGAGGATTTTCAGTTTTACGAAAATACAGCATTTCATGTTTTGTAGCGAGCAGTTACAGAGGCAGTACCACCCCAAGCAGTAAGCATGGTGCCAGCCAAGAGTGGCACCTTTAAGCTCCTTCTCTGGAAACTGCATGCAGCATCACAAAACCAGGCCACCGGAGCTCTGAACTGTGTCTGTGAACATCTGTGCTTTAACTCAATGTATTTTGTGCATCTGTTACCAACATGTGTCCTAAGGTAACAGATTTTTTTGAGGTCTGGGAATGGACAAAAATGTTTCCATATAAATTAATGGTAATTGCTTCTTTGCTTTACACTATTTGGGTTAATGAAAAATTTCATAGGGATGTTCTACTTTCAGATGGCAAGAAATCTGTATTACAATTTGCTGTTCACAATACTCTTCCAGGGATATTCATGTGATAAAAACGGAACCAGAGTCTAAGCTTCTAAGTCTGAAAGATGGACAGTGATCAGCTGGGACGCTGCTGGGGCATGAACCTCCTGCGGATGCCCTGCCTGGAGACTGAAACTAAATGAAACCCAAGTGCTTGATCCAGGCATTACTGCAGTGAGCCCTACCTCTAAACTTCTAGATAATTTCAACCAGCAATTCTCTTCCTGCTTAAGCCAGATATCTGAAACACATCAACTAAAGATTCCCAACCCTTACAAATGTTTACGAGTCTTGAGCTATCTACTAGATGCTGGCAAAAACCACGAAGTACAAGACAGTGCCTGCTCCAAATGAACTCTGAGCACAGAGAGTGGAAGTGGAGGGCCCATATCTCTACCAAAATAAAACATCATAAATGCTTTGGCAATGCCTCATGCACCAACAAAGGGGAAGATATGGTGAATACTAACAGGAGGTGGCTGAATGTTACCCAAAAGGATATAATGAGACAACAAAGCCTGATTTAGGCTTCGAAGAATAAAGTAGGGCTTAAAAGAAGAGAAAAATGTGCAAGGACATTCCAGCAAGAAAAAAGTGAATTAAAGGCAAGAAGTTTATCTTAAGATTTTTTTCCTCCTGAATGCCTAGCCCAGTCCCTTTCATATATGAGACACCAGATAAAGTTTAAAGAGTAAGCAAGGACATAAAGAGAAAATGATTAGATAAATGATTTCTCTGGAATTAAGGCCTTGCCTTGGCCAATGACATAATAACCTTTTATAACACAGCTCCTAATAGGAATTATGTTCTTTTTACAATAACCTACTTTATGATATGGCTTCCAGGAAAAGTAATAATCAAAAAGAGTTACTGCTGTGACTGTTAAGTGGGGATGGGGTGGCCTTAATTAATTGCTGGACTTGATTTTTATTTTTCTTTCTCACATACGAACAAGTTCTCTAAATGGCATTAATAAATAAACACATTTATGGGTGACATCGATCAAGTGTTTCTGCGATTTTTCACTAAAATTATAAATATCTAAATATGAACGCTAATTGCAAATTCTGATCAGAGAAAGAACTGAAGGAAGAAACAAGGTTCTGAAAGTTATGGCAGTCAAATAGCATGCAAGACTCAGCACAGAATGAGAGCTTATATTTTATTAATTCATTGTTGAAACAATGTAGGAAAGGTGGGACTCTGCACAGGGAGTGTTTTGGGATGATGGGGACCTGGGCTGATAATCTCTGCATCTGTCTGGATGTGGGAAAACTGTTTTAATTCTAAATATTCACGTGTGTGTGTGTGTGTGTGTGTGTGTGTGTTGGTTTTTTCTTTTCATCGCTGTTGTGAGTTATACAAGACAATGCGTATGCAGGACTGGAAGGTCAAGGAAGGACAATAATTCAAGAAACTAGTAATAAGTAGATCGCAGTAAATTAAGAGTAGATGCTTAGGAAATGAAGTCATTTTGCAAAAACAAAACAGACTGAAATCTTTATTTTGTCTCCTTGAAATGAGGTGATTAGATAATTGGATGTTTTAGCAATTAGGGTGTTTCCCTTGGTAACAGCAACAGTAATGTTTAAATACAGTACTCCACATTAAAAGAGAATATTTTGATAAACTTCATGAAGCTGAAGTCACCAGAGCTGACATCGTTTATCATTCAACAATTTCATTTTTTGACGTTATTTCCCTAATAACCTCTTCCACGCTAAGAAAATCATTTGAAGGACAGCAAGAAAGGTGGTTTCCGTCCACCTGTACAAACTGTGGACCACGAATGTGGTCAGATAAAGGGTACAGCTCTTCTGCAGTATAATATCCAAGGCAGACGACACATTTTCTTTTGCGCTCTTTTAAATATTTAGGACTCTGTAATGCATTTGGTACTCCAACTCCACTAACTGCGTATCAAAGACCTAAACTTTTCTATAAAATATAGTAAGTATGCAAATTTTAAAAGATCTTCTGCTCTATCTTACACTTATGTAGACTATGAACCACAGGCACTGTAATTCATTCCTATACAATAGTAGAAACACTCTAGCATCTCTATTGTTCAACGCAAATGTATAGTACATTGGGAATGTCTTAAATTAGAATGAAGCTTTAAAAAAAAAAACTTCTAAATAAATGCTAAATTTTTTAAATGTCTCTTTCATATGAATAACTTGATATTTAATTTCTATGCCATGTAAAGAAGACTTATAGGTTATTACATATTCCTAGATGCATCTAACCATAAATTACACTTCAGAACGTCTTTGAAAATGTTTAAAGTTTTCACGTTATCAAAGTCCTTTGTTACGTATGCATATATACATGTAAAACAGAAAAATATATATTACATGTAAAACTCATGCATATTTTGAAAAAAAAAATTGCCATTTAGAAAAGATTTAGTGTTCCTGTAAGTAATTGGTTCCTCTAGCAAATTTCTAGAGAGAGAAAATGGCAGATGCAGTAGAAGTATATCTTGATTGCAAGATTGAGAAACTCGATTCCAAGTAGGTTAAGAAAGCGAACAGTAGGGATCCCTGGGTGGTGCAGCGGTTTGGCGCCTGCCTTTGGCTCAGGGCGCGATCCTGGAGACCCGGGATCGAATCCCATATCGGGCTCCCGGTGCATGGAGCCTGCTTCTCCCTCTGCCTGTGTCTCTGTCTCTCTCTCTCTCTCTCTGTGACTATCATAAATAAATAAATTTAAAAAAATTTAAAAAAAAAAAAAAAAAAAAAAAGAAAGCGAACAGTAGGGCACCTGGGTGGCTTAGTCAGTGAAGCATCTGCCTTCGGCTCAGGTCATGATCTCAGGGTCCTGGGACCTAGTCCCACAATTAGCTCCCTACTCACTGGGCCGCCTGCTTCTCCCTCTCCCTCTGCCCCTCCCCCTGCTCAGGCCCTCTCTCATGCACACTCTTTTACTCTCAAATAAATAAAATCTTAACGAAAAAAAAAAGCCAACAGTAAAGGGTGAGTGCAGTGGGGCAGTGAGTCGGGGAGCACTGTAGCTTTGACCACAGGCTCTAGAAATGCCATCATACCTTAATCCTGCTTCTCTCTCAGCCCCGATTGCCCCTTTATTTGGGGACCGGCTCCCTCTGGGTGGAGGCGTTCATTGCTTGTCCTTCTTTCGAGAGCGATCCATGGGAAGGGATGCGGCCTCCCTGGGTTCAGATGGGAAGTTCTACTCCATGACTGCAAACATGCCTTTCTCTGACATTGGTGGTGTTCTCAAAACAAGAGAATGCTTCAAGTAGGCATGAGGGGCATGCCAACAGGGCGGTTACTAGCTGATACCCCCGTTAAAGGGGCACTGCTCTGTGTTTGTAACACCGTGGCCACTTTCCCCTGAAATCAGGACCAGTACCCGAGATTCCAGGAGGAGGTGACAGGGGTGAGGAGTCATGAGAAAGGAAAGAGGACAAGCGTGTTGCAGGGGCAATGTTACCATGCCCCACAGAGGTGTTCACATGCGTAAAGGAGCCAAAATTGGGAAATAACATGACAGTACATGCGGAGTGAACTGGAAGAGATCAGACTCAGAAATATTGAGAGAAGGTCCTATTCTTGGGGTCAGGGTGTGGCAAGTATCCCATATTCTGTACCTGTCTCCCTCTTTATGGAATACATGGTAAAATGTTATGGGAGGAAGCTCGGCACAAGGAGAGGAGAGTCAGGTTTAAACAGTGTGTTTTCGTGCCAGGTGTGAGTGGAGGCGTCTCTGTGAGCTACTCCCCAGCTCAGCGCTCACCTCCAGAGCATCTGTGTGGCTCAGGAACAGCACATGATCAGGTCTCCGTAATGATGCATCTTCAGTCTCCTTGCCCACTCCAGTCTGCATCCCTCATGAGCAAGAACTGAATTCTTTTCAACTTTGTAAGCCCTGTACCAGGAGACTGTTATACAATGAATGCTTCATGAATGTTGGATAATTGGCTAAATAAATAAAGCAGTTCAAGACTAAATTACTAAGAAAGACAGAGAAACAAACACAAGCAAATGAATTATTATTAAAAAAAGGTTCTTCAAGGTCAATTAAATTACTGTATATTCACAAGAGTAATTTACTGAAATCCAACAGCCAAAACATATTTATTGATGATGTTACCGGTGGCCCCTAAATTACAAAAACAAATGCAAATGAATCTCATATACATGTTTATATTTTATTTATTTATTCACAAGAGACACACAGAGAGAGGCAGAGACCGGAGCAGAAGGAGAAGCAGGCTCCCTGCGGGGAGCCCAATGCACAGGTGGATCCCAGGATCACGACCCAAGCCGAAGGCAGATGCTCAACCCCTGAGCCGTGCAGGCGCCCCTGACTCTGATACTCTTTGTTACTTTAGGGAGCTGAACGTATCCGTCAGCTGCATGTGAGCATGATAAGGGCAAAAAGGAGAGACCACGTTTTAGGGCAAAAAGGAGAGACCACGTTTTAAAAGAGCATTTAAAACGGTAAGAACGGAGTTTCGGAGTTTTCTGAAGTCACGTGGCACGACACTTTAAGGCTGTAGCAGCTCACTCACCCGCAGTTGTGCCCACCGTGGGTGCCGTCGTCTTCCCTTCAAGCGGGGGCTCCCGCGGTCCTGGTGCGCATGCACGCTGCGCAGGGAGCAACGTTCCCATCTGCGGGATCCACCCGCCGGCAGGGCCCGAAGGCAGGACACCGCCGCCCCCGCTCCTGGCCGCGTGGACTCGGCCCGTCCTTGAAGTTTGAAGGTCAGCAGATGGCTTTACGCCAGCAGCGGCAGGAGCGGCAGCTCGAGCAGGGCCTCCCAAACCCTAGTGCGCATGTCAGCAGCGTGCACCGTGCACCAGGGGCTCTGCGGCGAGGCCTCGGCCTCCTCCTTCCCGGCAGGCTTCGCGGAGGGCCCTGTCACGGGAGAGCAGGGCCCAGTGAGCGAGCAGGAAAGCAGCGCCCGCCCCTGCACCACGTGCACCGCAGCCCCCCGTCACGCCAGTCCTATCGGCAGCAAGACGCCACCTTGCTTAGTTAGGCCCCGGCGGGTCCTGAGGCGCAAGGGTGTCAGGAGAGTGTTTGAGACCGTGAGGCGCCATGTGGTCCCCAGTCACCACATCCGGGGACCTCGCTCAGGCCCTCAGGCGGGGTCGCGCCGCAGAGCCCAGGCCCCGGCCTCGCGAACAGGGACATGGAGCCCAGCGCACAGGCCATGAGGCGACCCGCCCCCGCCCCAGGGCAGGACGTGCACACTGCTCAGACCGTCCTCACGCAGGGGGACCTGGGGGACCTTCCCCAGGGGCTCTGCGACTGCTCCAGGCTGGCTTACGGGGCCTACACAGGGAAGGAGGCCCCACAGGGGACATGGCCGCACAGCCACCACCCAAAGCCACCACCATCTCTCGACTCTACACGCCCACGGCCGCCACCAAAGGAAGCCACAGGCCGAGTGCTGCAGGCCTGCCGTGTGGCACGGGCGCCTTTACCACCATCCCGTTTCACACAGAAAATCACCTGAGAAGCTCAGACAGGTAAGGCAAGCAGCGCTGGGTCAGCAGCCCGAGGCGCCCGACGATGTGGCCGCTGCCCACAGCCACGGCCCGGCCTCTCCGATTACGCTTCCGTTAAAAAGGCTACTCAGGAACGGGGAAGGCACCGCCAGACCGGGAAAGCGCTAGGAAGTCCTCTCTCCACAAGCCGGCACGTGGACCCCGCCTTCCCCGCGGGCGGCACCGCCCCGACGGTGGGGAGAGGAAGAAAAACCACTTCCGGGAGACACGCAAGCGCTTCCGGGGCGCGCGCGGCGCCCGAGGGTCGTTCAGGGTCACCGACCTTGCCGGGGAGGGGCCAGCCCCCAGGTGGCGCTACGACGCGCAGGCGGACGGACACGCATCGCTGCGTATGGAGGACAGCAGCACTGGACACGAAAGTGTTGCCCCTTACCCGCGCCCGGGGACGCCGGGGTCAAGCGTCCGAGGGTGCGCCGCCATGTTGAGTCCAGGGGGTTTAAAAGGAGTGGGCGGGGCCCAGGGATGTCTGCGTCGCATGGTGACGTCGCAGCCCTGCGCGGGTAGGCCCGCCCGGACCCCTCCCGCGAGACCTTCCAGTCGGCGAGCGCGGGCCGGCCTTGGGGGGCGGGGCCTTGTTGAGTGACGGCTCCGCTGAAGGGGGTTCAGCATGGAAGTGCCTGGAGCCTGCATTGGTAGGCGGGGCGCGGGCCGGGCGCGGGGCGGGCTCTGGTGGCTCCCCCGGGGTGGGCGGGTCGGAGCAAGCCCCCAGCGCCCGGCTGGAGCGGCGCCCCCGCCCTGCGCCTCCCAGGCGTCAAGCTGGGGCTGCTTCCTGCGCGCGGAGCTCCGCCGCCCCACCCCCACCCCCAGCCCGGCTGCAGAAAGGAGGCGTGCCGCGGCCGGGGCTCCTCCCTGCACACAGCGGAGGTCTTCGGCCCCTAAACTCGAGGCCCGGGCCGGGCGTTGTGCCTCCCCTGGAGGCTCCGGCGGAGGCAGGGAGGAGACCCGAGGACCTCCAGGTGTGCAGCTTTGTGGCCTCACGGTTCCCCCCACCTGGTGACAGGCAGCCCACTGAGGCTTCGGAAACGCGCTTCTGTCCTGAAATCGGTCACGAGTCATCCGGGACTGTGCCTGACGGTCCTTGCAGCCTTCAATTGCCCTTGCCGCTCACGGCCTTAATGCATCTTGAGAAGCTAGGCAATGAAATAAATATTTCACTGTTCGATGATGGCTCGTTGCATTATGCAAGAATCGTGGGCATCCTGTTTTTGTTTTTTGGAATTAAATATATATATATTATATCCATATACATATTATATCCATATATATGGATGCTTGCAGTGCAAGGGTGGGGCAAGCGAGCAGGGACTGCTCTTCAAATGCGGTGATGCACTTGCAAAGGAGACCACGTGTGTCCTTTCTGTGGAATCTGCTAGTGCCTAGCCATTTTACGTTCCACAATAGTAGCCCCCCCGCCCCCCCCCCCAAAAAAGGTTAAAAAGCTCAGGAGAAAAGGCAATTGTAATTTACTGATCTGCTTCTACCCGGGGCACATCAGATTGTAGATAGCATAATCTATGAGATAAATACATATGAAATGTTGGGACTTTTCATAAGTAATAAAACTACATGGGGCCAACGGGAGAGGGGAGAAAAGTTTTCGTGAGAAATTTGGGTACTTAATGAGATTTTTATTGACAATATTATGTTCAGCACAGAGAATTATACGTTAAAACCGTCTTGGAACGATGAGACATGGGACAACACACCAGTGTGTAAAGAGCTATATACCAACTTACAGCATTTTTGGTTTTTTTGTGTGTGTCCTCAATTTCGCAGCTAGAATGAAGCACATCAACTTGTCGTTTGCGGCGTGCGGGTTTCTGGGCATTTACCACTTGGGGGCAGCATCCGCACTTTGTAGACATGGCAAAAAGCTCCTGAAGGATGTCAAGGCCTTTGCAGGGGCTTCTGCGGGATCCTTGGTGGCTTCTGTCCTGCTAACGGCACCAGAAAAACTAGAGGTAATGAAGTAGTAACTAGGCTGCGTTCCTTGTTAAGAAATCAACACTGAGCGGCAGGCATGAACGTTGGCTCTACTAAGTTAACTGCAGATGAATAATCCTTTTCCTGGGTAACAGGAAAGGTCAAGACTTTTTTTTTTTTTTTTAATTTAATTATTACGGATTTCTGTTCTGGATTTGGGGAAGATTATGTTGGATGACAGTGAGGCAAGGAAATCAAATGCCTCTTTTTACTCTTGAGTGTCTATTTAGTCATAAAATTCTGGCTCTGTTTCTTTCAAGCAAAGGCTATTTCTTCTTTATCTGATCATGAGAACACAGGGTCTGTTTTCAAGGCCTGGAAAATGGGGCCGATAATGCTTTGCTCCCTCTTGTTTACAAACAGGTGTATAAAGGAAAATTGGGCCAATGGTTTCTGCTAAGTGGAATGACGCAGAGATTCTGTTTGTTTTTGATTCTCACAGATAAAAAATTCTGAATTCCAGGCAGTTTATCCAGAAGTAATGAGAATAAGCCTTCATTAGATATTTCATTTAATGCAGTCTATGTCATAAAAAGGTTTTCCATTTCTAGACAGCAATCGTACATTTCCTGACTTTAAGAACTGTCTTCTGTAGGTGCAGACTGGCATATTCATTCATTACTTACATACTCTGGTGGCTCTGAACAACGATTGAATAATAATTAGCATACTCAGGCCCAAGAATAAATTTAAGTCACATTTAAAACGTCAAAACTAGGATGCCTGGGTGACTCAGTGGGTGAGCATCTGCCTTTAGCTCAGGGCATGATTCCAGGGTCCTGGGATCGAGTCCTGCATCGGGCTTCCTGCAGGGAGCCGTCTTCTCCCTCTGCCTATGTCTCTGCCTCCCTCTCTGTGTCTCACATGAGTAAATTAAAAAAAAAAAATCTTCTAAAAATAATAAATAAAATGTCAAAACTATAAAATCATAAACATCCAGAATCTTGTTCTCACCATCGAGGATGAGCTCCGTATGAAAGAGAAACAGGATTTGAGGCCAGTTGTATGGGAATCCACTTATGTTTTCCTCCTGTTTTTGTACGGTTGTTTTATTGGAAATGCAAGAAGGGAAGAAGTGCTGTGAATGGATTGCATGGAGTGAGCACCTGAAGGCAGTGAACACATACGTAACGTGTGAGCACTGCCCCCCCCCCCCCCAACACACACACTAGCAGAATCCTATGGTTTGGATTGCAAGCCAGCTCCTTTCCAGAACTCTCAAGAGGCTGGGGACTCCTAAGGGGTTGTTGCCTCCTCCTCTGTGTCACCTTTTCCTTTCAGGGAGGCAGATCCTCAGCTTTGCAATTGAATAGACTTGGTTTTAATTCCTCAGATTGGGCAGCCCTGGTGGCTCAGTGGTTTAGCGCGGCCTTCAGCCCAGGGTGTGTTTAGTGCCGCCTGCAGCCCAGGGTGTGATCCTGGAGACCCTGGATCCAGTCCCTCGTCAGGCTCCCTGCATGAAGCCTGCTGCTGTCTCTGCCTGTCTCTGCCTCTCTCTCTCCTCACTGTACATTCTCATGAATAAATAAATAAAATCTTTAAAAATAAATAAATAAATCCTCAGATTGAGGAATGCATAAAGTGTCATGTAAAATTGACTTTATTTGGAAGTTCTGCCCTAATACAGCCACTTCACTGAAATTCTGTGATGTTCACATGCTGACACTTGATCTGACTTTGAGACGTGAGATCATTATTTCAAGCTAGATTACGTATTCTTGTGTATTTTTTCGATGAACCCTATTGCACCGTCTAGTGGTGTTGGTATGATGGCATTGGTTGTAGGTGGGTAAAGGGGCAGGACTTCCTGGGTGCTCACATTGGAAGGTGCAGAATGATTCTCTCTATTGACCTAGAGCATCCTCGTTTTTCGTTTGTCAAAACAAATTCTCAGCCATTTGATGTAAGTTTATTTTATTTCCTTTTGTTTTAGAGTTTGGATTACACTACTTGTAGGATTGCTTTGAGGTTTTGAGCAAACTGTTTTCTACTTATTCACATCCATGTTAGCTCAGCTCTTGCTGATGGTTCCTCGAGTTTTGTGGTGTTGTGACAAATACGTGAGTAATTAATCTAGTTCTGAGCTTTTATGCATGTATAATTAAGAGGAGCACCTGATGCCTGGTGTATCTTAGGTGGTAGGCAAATTTAGACGCCCATACGTAAGAGCTCAGTGCTGCAGCCTTTTTTCAGCCTGTAAGTTGCAAGGCACAGTGTTAGATATAGTGGGGAACGCAGAGATGAGTAAGTCCTTGCTTAATAACTTTCCAGTCTGATCATGGGAGTGTGTGTATGGTGTGTGTGTGTGTGCATGTGTGTGTCTGTAACTAAAATTAATACAAGAAAGTAGGCCAAGTGGGCAGTCTGGCTTAGTAGAAGGAGCACATAGTTTGGGGGCTGCCCCTTACAGCAGCTTCCTGACAGCAGGCTGCATCCGTTCTCTGCCTACAAACCACCCACCTCACAGACACAGATCAGATTGTCTTATTCCCCCTACCTTCCCCTCCCAGCCCCAGGGCTCTGTTTTGACTTAGGATCGGATCCAGATTTCTCAGCCTGTCTCCTGAGCCCCCCCCACCCCCCATGACTTAGTCCTCTCCTGGCTCAATGATGATGGCTTTGAGGTCAGTACCCCTCACTGGCTTGTGCTCACAGTTGTCCCTGCCAGTCTTTCTCACCTACCTCCATGTCCTGTCCAGCTCCTACTCACACTTTCTGTCTCATCCAAAAGTCACGTTGGAGGGAAGCTGTGGCTGACACCCACTGTATCATTTTTTTGTGGCTGCTACCATAAATGACCATAAACTTAGTGACTTAACACATTTTTATTCTCTTAGATTTCTGGAGGTCATAATTCTGGAAAAATCAAATTGTCCGCAGGGCCAAGCTCCCTCTGGAGGCTCTGGAGAATGTGTTTCCTTGCCTTTCACAGTTTGTGCAGGCAGCCCGCATTCCTGAGCTTAGAGCCCCTCCCTCCATCTTTGAGACATAAGCACAGCATCTTTTTTTTTTTTAAGACTTTATTTATTCCTGAGAGACACAGAGACATAGGTAGAGGGAGAAGCAGGCTCCATGCAGGGAGCCTGATGTGGGACTCGAACCAGGGACCCCGGGATCACAGCCTGAGCCAAAGGCAGACACTCAACCGCTGAGCCACCCGGGCGTCCCAAGCACAGCATCTTCAAATGTCTCTCTCTAACGCTGACATTTCCACCTCCCTCTTTCACTTATACAGATCCTTGTGATTACACTGGACTCCCCTAGATAATCCAGGATAACTGCCCCATCTCAAAATCTTTAACTTATTCACATCTGTAAAATCTCTTTCGTTGTATAAGGAAACATTCACGGAGTCCAGAGGCTAGAACGTGGGATCTTTGGGGGTGGAAGGCTTGGTTCTTCCTGCTTACCACACTGTCGTGGCACTCTCCTAGTTCTCGGGGATTTACGCACTGAGGCAGTCCTAAGTCCCATGAGGGCACGGGCTCTTTGTCTCTCATTCTACCTGAATCCTAGTGCCTAGGACCCTGTAGAGGTTGCTTAATGCATGATTTAATAAAGAAAAGATCGGCCTGGGTTCAAATCCTGACTCTGGAGTTATTTTGATGAGATAACTGGGAAAGATGTCCAATCTTTCCAAATCTCAGTTTTTTTACTTGTCAAGTGGGGATTGTACCCACCTTGCATGGTTATGTGACCACGAGCTAACAGAAGCTGCATCTGTAGATCCCAGCATGTTAGATGCTCCCCTCTCCTTACCACTCAGGACTCTTACAAAATACCAATGCCTAGGGACACCTGGGTGGTGCAATGCTTGAGTGTCTGCCTTCGGCTCAGGGCGTGATCCCAAGATCTGGGATCAAGTCCTGCATTGGGCTCCCTGCGTGAAGGCGGCTTCTCCCCCTGCCTATGTCTCTGCCACTCTATGTGTCTTTTATGAATAAATAAATAAATCTTAAAAAGAAAAAAAACAATGCCCAACAGTGATCTCCAAAGACAAACAACACTCATCACGACGCCTCCCTGGTCATTGGTGTTGCTGTGAGTAATCAGTAGTATTGCAATAGCACTACCTCAGAGGCCACAGACTTGGGATGGGAGAGGAGGTCAGCCATGTTGGAGAAATGTGTAGAACAATGTGCTAATAAATGAGAATCAAAACTGAGCTTTCGAGGATTTCCCAGATGTGGGCAAAGCCATTTGAGGTGGTTTAGAAAGAAAAGAAAGGAGAAAAAAGTTTGGATTTGGGAGAACACATAGCTTGCCTGGGAGCTAAGACCTGTGGGTGAAGGGGGTCAGGTGTGGTGTGCTTGCCAAGGCAATACACCTGTAAAGGAAAGGAGCACCTGAAATCTAAGGGTTGGGTTTGTAAGATCTAGGGTCCAGGTGCCTTGTGTGGTGGCCACAGAATGCTGGAAAAAGAAGGAATTTTTTCTTTCTTTACAAATCATAGGTTCACGTACTCATTTTCTTTTTCAGGAGTGTAATGAATTTACCTACAAGTTTGCTGAAGAAATCCGAAGGCAGTCTTTTGGGGCAGTTACACCTGGATATGATTTCATGGCCCGATTGAGGTATATACGTGTATATAGAACATTTCCACCAACGCATGTGAAGACAGAGTGTTGAAGATGCTCTGTATAAACCGCGCCACGCTTAGCTCAGTGTTCTCCCTATTAAAATATTTACAAGGCATTCAATAATTGAAGGTGAATAACGCAGGTTACTTTTTCTTCCTTAGAAGTGGAGTGGAGTTGATTCTTCCTCCCAACGCCCATGAACTGGCCCACAACCGACTGCATGTATCTATCACCAACACCAAAACCAGAGAAAATTACCTGGTCTCCAGTTTTTCCTCCAGGGAGGACCTCATTAAGGTAACCCAGGTAACATGCATGTCATGTTTGAGGAATTCATCCAGAGCTGACTTAATTCCTTCTCACAGGCGAACGTCATCACGTTCTTTAGAGCCAGGGTTTCACATCAAGCCTGATAGATGATGAGTGCTCGCTAAATGATGTGATTGATGAATGGGTGACCCAGTGTCCCTCAGTGGCCACCTCAGAGGTTCCAGAGACCCCCGCGCTGCTTCTGTGCTTTTCTCATGATCGTCAGCACACCCATATTCAGGTCACCGACGCGGCTGGATAGCATCACAGTACTGAGTTCCCTGAGTGACATAGCTGGTATCTCCTGGTTCACATAAAACTTTGTACGTGTGCAGCCTTTTTCAGTTCTCTGCAGGTAGGACAGGTGTGATTACTGCCCTGTTATTGTTTTTGTTTTTGTTTTTTTGTTTTTTTTTTTAAGCAGAAGAGAAATAGGCGGAGAGATTTTACGTGACATGCTCAAGGTCATACCGGCTGCCCGTGGGAATGCATTCTGGACCCCAGGTCTCTTGACTTTCCAACGTAATGTTCCAGTTCATTCTCCCATTTTGTTTTCATGCTTTCCTATCCAGACACATTTGAAAGTTGCTCGGTTGCGAATTTATTATCTCTGGGAAATACTTTGGCTAGAGTTGCAAATAACAGTGTGCTTGCTAAGGTAATACATCAAATACTTGTAAATTGGAAAGAGTGCTCTTTTCCTACAAAAGCCGGGCAATTTTTTCTCTGTTTTCCCTTTGGTGGGAATTATGGCCAGCTTCAGATAATATGGAGAAAGTGTGTTTGGATACAGCAGGGGGAGATGGATTGAGAGGAACTGGTAAAAGTTCTGCTTGAATTACATGATAAATGCATTGATTTTTACTATCGAGTCTTACTGTTCAAGTTTTACTGTGTGAATGATATAATTTGAAATACCTAATGAAATGTTGAACTGACAAGTAAAATTACTTTGTGACTTAATAGATTAGAATATTTTTACTTGGTGTGCTGACTATGCCAGTCTTGCCCTTACACATTAATAGTCTGTTTTAGAAAAAGAAGTATTAGAAATATTTTCCTATAATCTTATGGAGACTTGCAAAATATAAAGGGAGGAACTGGTCAGTCCATGCCTGAATTGTCACAACCTGCTGATGTCAACACAGATACAAGGAGCTGCCAGTGTGCCAGAAGACCTCTTCTGGTTGGAACGGCAGCATGACTGTGTTCCCTTTTGTCAGAAGACAGGAGCCATGCATTGCAGTTATGACCTGCTCATTGCATCCGTCCTTGGCTACTCTTATCTACAGTAGCAGAGCCCCTGGTATTTCCTGTCTCCTCTCCTAACTTACCGATCACTGTTCCCGATCCCATATTTTACTGCTTTACTTAGTTTTTATTGTCACTCTTTCTTCAGTAGAATGTAAGCTTCAAGTGGGCAGGGGTTGCTCTGTTTTGTCCTCTGTGATAATCCCATTGCCTGGCAAAGGGCCAGCTCCAACATATGTGATCAGTCGGTGAATATGAATGAACACATAAATGACCTGAGGTGGCATCTGTTACAATGGCTTCATTGAAAACAAAAGAAGGGCTGCCTGGGTGACTTGCTGGGTTGAGCGTCCGAATTTGGCATTGGTCTTGATCTCAAGGCTGTGAGTTAAGGCCCTACAATAGGTTCCATGCTGGGCATGGAGCCTAATTAAAAAAAACAAAAACAAGGGGGTCCCCAGGTGTCTCAGCGGTTTAGTGCCTGCCTTTGGCCCAGGGCATGGCCCTGGGGTCTCGGGATCGAGTCCCACGTCAGGCTCCCTGTATGGAGCCTGCTTCTCCCTCTGCTTGTGTCTCTGCCTCTCTGTGTATGTGTGTGTCTCACGAATAAAAAAATAAAATTAAAAACAACAAAAGAAGAAAGCATCCGGATCCTATGTTTAGTGACCTTTACAAAATAAGTTAGCTGGTCAGTGGCCCAACTGGTCCAGATGGGACTGGACTACGGTCCAGATGTCCAACATTGTGCTTGATTACATCACACGCTGGATAAAATTATCCCCCTCTCAATTCCCTTTATATGGCAATGTGGTTGGCTGAATAATGGCCTCCAAAGACATCCATACCCTAATCTCTAGCACCTGTGGATATGTTACCTCCCATGGCAAAAAGGATTTTGTAGATATAATTGAGGCAAAGATCTTAAAATGGGGAGATGATCCTGGATTGTCTGGGTGGATCCAAACAAAGTACCTAAGTTCTTAAAAATGGAGGTCTTCCTTGGGGGCCATTGTTCTTTCTGAGCTGTAGAGCCCTCGTGCAAGTAGAGCATAGAGGCAGGAGGGCGCTGTGGGGTGCTTCACTGACAGCCAGCGAAGCAAAGAGGACTTCACTCCTGCAACCAATGGAAATGAATTCTCCCAGTGTCTGAGTGAGCAGGAAACATTTTCCCCTACACCCTCCCAGAAGGAATGCGGCCCTACCAACACCTGGGTTTTAGCTGCACGACAGATTCTAATCTCAAGACCGCATGGTAAAAGATTGGTGTTATTTTAAGCCTCTATGTTTGTAGTAATTTGTTACAGCAGCAATAGCAAACTACTGCAGTAAGTAAACATGATTTTTTTTTTCAATTTCCTTTGTTTTAGATAATAACTATTCAGAGAATTGGTGTAATTACTTGAGTTCATTGAACAGAAGAGAAATAGTTGATACAAAATGTGTAATATCTTGTAAGGAGAATAATTGAATAATTAACATTTATTCTAGGTTATACAAGAAGCATTTTAAATATTTAGCAGAATGCTCTAACCTTTTTCCGACCTAAAAATAGGAAGGATGGATAGTTCCTTGATGGCAGATAGTGGCTATGAAATGTCTGAAGTCCATGCCTGGAATACTCAAGAAGCATTTAGTTCAACAGTAAGATCAGGTAGAGACTAGAAGAGGGAAGAAGAAAAGGCATGGAGGGGAAAGAAAGCAAACCCACTCCTGGTACATCATCAGCTTCTGTGCTCTGAGTAACCAAGAGACCAGTGGTGGAGTGTCGTGTGGAGCGCCACGCGGCAGGATGGCTGTTCATTGCCCAGGGCAGTGGGGAGGGCGAGGAAGCTGCCTGCTGGTGCTTCCATGTCCCTCAAGAGGAGATGAGAGGCCTCCCAAAGCCAAGAGGGGAAGCAGCCCCAACCCCACGGTGCACACTCCAGTCTCCTGGGAGCTCTGCACACCTGGCTCTGAACACAGTGTTGGGCTTACTTCCCAGTATTTGTAAATTCTGGAGATGACACAGAGAGACTAAAACTGCAACCAGAGGTAGAGTACGTCAGGTATCAATTGGTAGCTAGTGAAGGAATCTGGGAGTACTAAATACTAGGGATTTCAACTACAATGTTGGATTTTATACCCATTTTATCATTAACTTATTTATTCTCTTACTGACTGGTGTTCTTAATTTTTTTTTTAATGCTGAGCTTATTAGCCGCCAGCTGACTGCACCTTTTATTTTATTTTATTTTTAAGATTTTATTTATTCATGAGAGGCACAGAGAGAGAGAGGCAGAGACACAGGCAGAAGGAGAAGCAGGCTCCATGCAGGGAGCCCGATGTGGGACTCGATCCTGGGACTCCAGGATCATGCCCTGGGCCGAAGGCAGATGCTCAACCACTGAGCCACCCAGGCTTCCCTGACTGCACCTTTTATTACAAACTGGATGTCTTTGTATTCTAAAGTGTGTGTGTATACGTCTATGTATGTCAAGTCCTCTGTGTGTATGTGTGTGTGTGCATGCAGACGTGTGTGGTCTCTTGGAATATTACATGTTTTATGTGCATCTCCCCGTGTTCATATCTAGGCCTCTCATTTCCTGACACTGTCCCTGGGGACCAGTTAGATTTGAGTCTCATTTTGTCCAGTTGTGAAATGGACAGAAGTCAATCTGTGTTAAAATGGGGAACAAATGTATAAAGCAAGACAAGTGTGTTTTTGGCAGGAAAGCCCCGTATGCTTGTTGATTACAGCCAGTATTCAGTAAATAGTAAACAAGTCAGATTGTAAGCCACACACGTTACTGGTCAGCATGCCTGTAGGAAGTGTCACAGCCTTCTTTCTGTGGTGTCGGAGTCACCCTTTCTTACACATTTTATTCTTTTCCCCCTTACTTGTCATTCATATTCAAGAACAGTGTACTAACCTACACCTACAGTATCTCAGGAAGTGGATTACTACCCTGTTTTGCATATGATCTTAGACCTCTTCATCATTGGCTTTTGTTTTTGTGTGATGACTCATAAATTGTATTCATTCACTTTGCTTCTAGTCGCATGAAAGATGATTGTTTCATTTGCTATCTGCAATGATAGCTGAATATTTTCTAAGAACCTATGTTGGCCAATTAAGTGGTCCAAAGATCCCAATTAGGGTTGAATTTCCATCGTATCCTGAATCTTCTGCCCACGGTGACTTAACTCAGCGCTATGGTCTGAACGTCTCTAGCACCCCACACTGAATTCATAGTCAATCCCAAATCCCTGATGTGATGGCATCAGGAGGTGGACCTTTGAGAGTGAGATCATGAGGTAGAACCCTCATAAATGGGACTAGTCCCCTGATAAAACAGACCCCAGCCAGCCAGCTCAGCCTGTCTGCTTTGTGAGAACACAGCGAGAAGCAGGCTCTCGGCAGGCACTGAATCTGTCCGCACCATGACTGGACATGCCAGCCTCCAAAAATGTGAGAAGTCAGTTTCTGTTGTTTAGAAGCCACCCAGCCTGTGAAATTTTGCTGTAGCATCGGAAATGGTCTAGGACAGGAGACTGAGCCTGACATGCGGGGGAGTGTCTATAACAAATACTTAGACACGTGGCTAAGAAGCAGCTCTGGAAGGGGGTAATGGACAGAGGGTGGGAGAGCATAAAAGTACACGCTAGAAAGAGCCCACATTGCTGTGAGTGGACCTTTAAAGGCTTGGACAAGAAAGAGATGAACTGGAGACAGAGCTGTCATCTTCTCAGTGACTCCCTAAGGGGCA